GACCATCGCTGCTCGTCAGACGCAGCAAGGAGTCGTACATTTGAATGCCAAGGAGCTCTTGATGCTTCATAACGATGGAAAGCGCGTCGCCTCTTTACCTGCACCCTCGGACAGCGAGTTTGTGGGTGGAGCTATTCAAGGATCTGGGTCCGTTCTGCTTGCCGCCCGCAACGGCTCGGTCTCTTACCTCGAACCGTCCATCGAGGGCTGGAAAGAGGTCGCGAGCATCTCATTCGACAACGACGAGGTCAGCGCTGTGGATGCCAGTCCACTGCAGTCTGGTGCAAGTTCGGCCTACGCGGCTGTCAGCTTATGGAAGAGCCGCACCATCAAAGTCCTAAAGCTTCCATCTTTAGAAGACGTCACTCCTTCGGCTCTGCGCCAATCACAAGCCTCTCTCCCAAAATCGGTATTGTTGCACTCGTTTCCTTCGGCCGGCTGTAAAGCTGGATCTCCTCATCTGCTGGTTTCATTTGCCTCTGGAGCCCTTGCTCTCCATAGTCTGGCACTTCCCGGTGCCGAAAGCTTCTCCAAGAACGTCGTAGTGGTCGAGTCTCGCGTATCTGCTTTGGGCACCCAGCCGGCACGTCTCCGTCCTTTCTACACGACAAAAGGCCTACATGCGGTCCTCGTCGCGTCGGACAGACCCGCAGTCTTGTCATGTGATCACTCGACGAGCTCAGCGCGAGTTCAGTTCTCCGTCTTGCCCTCGGCCGGTGGAGCGGTTGTTTCTGATGCGATCCCGCTCGAAACGCCCGAAGGAAGCGCTCTTGGCCTTGTTCAGCGAGATTCGATACGAGTTGTCAGCATCGGCGAGGTTCAACGCCTTGACGTCTCGACCGCTGTAGATCTCGGACACGACAATCCACTCGCTTTGGCTCTTGTACCTTGGGCGCGGGCACTCCTGGTCACTTCTTGGCGCTTCAGACCTCAAGGTAGTGTGGATCCAGATCCACCTGCTGGCAAGATCCATGTTTTCGATGCAGAGACGTTTGAGGGTGAGTCGACGTACGCTC